GGACTGTCTATTGACTGAGATAGGCAGACATAAACCCGACTGTACCATTCGCAACTGCCTAACTGCATTAATGCACTGAAAGCTGGGGGTGAGTCAGACGAGGAGCAAACAAGGTTGAGCTGTGACGCACCATGCTCCGCCACACCTAGAAACTGCAGAGATGCTGGAGGATCATACGAATTAAAATGGATCCATGCATAAAGAGGTAAAAGTCACTTCTAAGCTGATAAGGGGGCAAAGCCAAAGTGTGCAGTCAAAGTAATAGAAAATAAGAGGAAAAAGAATGAAAGGTGGCAGGAGTTTTTTATCTTCTTTAAAACACCCCGATTGTAAATTTTACTTTTGTGAACGCTGCTTTGTTGGGATCTTCCAATGCTGATGATATCAAGTGACTAAAATGTGATAATTAAAAGGCTGAGTTTTCACAATAGTGACACTTTGCAGCAGATGCTCTGGGTTAGTGCAAGAAGATCGTGTTTGCCAATTCATCAGGAATCAAACCAAGGTCTAGATTAGGATTACATGATCTGTATGGATGCAGTTGGGTATCAGCAGCAAAAGTGTTAATGTGTTACTGGAAAAGTGTCTATATGAAGAATTAAGGCACAATAAACACATACATCAACTCTCAACATTCTGGTAAAAATGCCCCAAAACAAAGGAAAAAGTCAGGATGTACCTGCCATTCTGACATTTTTTTCTCCAGGTTTGCACAGTTTCAAATATCTTTGTACCCAAGAACATGATAAATCAACATAAACCAGTCACAACATCAAAACAACCTGCCTGGAAACGTGATCTCTGGCGGCATCTTTTGGGTCCCATACGCTGCAGGGTGAGGCCTGAATCAGGTTTGTTCTGCTGCCTCCCGTTGAAGCTCCATTAGATTGGGGTCCATGCAGTTTGGGGGTTGTTCCTGAGCGTTTTTTTGTCTTCTTTGTCTGCTGGGAGAGGCCACTGCCATGGATGGGGGTGTGCAGCAATGTTCAGGCAGGTCATCCACATAAATGCAAGGACCTAACATTTTCCAGCAGAACATTACACTGTAATGAATCGATCAGTGTCATTTACTGTTAAGGCTGATATACTGAATCGGTACTGAGGACCAGACTAACCAAGCAAGCAGGCTTTGACGCAAACTATGTTGGAAAAGTACAAATGTTGTTTTTTTACTTCCAGCTAAAACTGTAATGCTTTAAACAATTATTACTATCACTTAAACTAGAACTCTTTTCTGTGCTTTGCCAATATTGTTGCCATGGCACCAAAGAAAAATAATACATTTGATGTGAAGATGCATTTTAGTAAAACCTGCAGTTGCCCAAAGTATCACAGAAGATGTGCTCATGCTTCAGAATTGAATTAAAAAGGAATTCAATGCTAATTATACAAAATGACTGGCCTTGCAGCCGGATGAAAATAAAAACCTGTGAAGGTGTCATTTGGACCACCAAGGGAAGACTCCAGACAGCGGTTGTGTTATATTTATTATCACAATAACACAACAATCTGAGCAACCAGATATCATTACAGGGATATGTGAGTTTCTCTACTGGCATAACAGTTCCTTAACACTACACAACAAACCCAGAGTCTAAAGATAAGATACAACCACTTTAAAGCTACATAGGGCACTACAGTATTTTAGATGTCTTCAATATTTAGTCGGAGAATCACAAGCATTTAAAACACCTTCGTTACTCGACAACATCTAAGTGCATTTACATTGTGCTTCAGTCTCAGACTTGGTGTGAAGAGCTCACATATCCTAACCTGTGCTTAAATTGTCTTTTTTTTTTTCCTTTTTTTTTTTTAATACTGAATACATTTCAATGCAGTGAACAAACACACAGGGACAGAGTGCAATAACTCCTGGCTGCATTGTAGACAGCTTAAATAATTAAAATGAGCAGTAACATTTTTGCACACAATGGCAGGCATCACCCCGACAGAACGTACACTCACTTCGTCCACTACAACAAATAACTGTCACCATGTAACACATACAGAAAGTCTATTCAGCCCGGGATGGCTGATGGGAAAAAAACAGGGGCTCCCACATGCTCTCTGTATTTTCAGCTGTTCACTGTGGATTTGTCAACGGGTTTAATCTCAAATTAAGACAGCCGAAGCTTTGTTCATTATTTCAGTAAGAGGGCAAATCCTTGTGACGCTTCTCTGATAAGGGGTAAGAAGAGAACTTATTTAACAAAATGCAGTGAATTCACTATATATGGGTATGGCTCCAAGTTCAGGATTTAACAATAGTTCAAAAAATATTACAACACAAAAGTACATCTCAACACCTCCTAAGACGATAACATCTGTCACTGGTTGCGATCAAAGGTTTGCTTCAACACTGTGAGGGACTGGTAGAAAATTATTAGGTGAGGAGCGAGGCAAGGAAAGTGGGAGGGTATTCAATTTGTATCTTATGTAGTTAATATATTTTATGATATAAATACTCATATTTCATGTTAAAATAAAACATTAAAGACCCTAAAATCCTATTTTCTCTGTCAGTGTTTTTAGTATAAATGATGAGGTCCGACATATTCGTGTTTTACAACCCTAGGTTTTAAAATGTTGGGTTATTTCTAATGAAATGATCTCTGTAGTTCCATTTTTATCACTGGTTTTTACATTGCTGTAAAGTGGAAGGTGCTCAGCTGGGAAAAGGCGATACCAAATGAATCCAGTTTTAGCAACATCTGAATCAACATCTGTTGTGAGCTGCTGGATCCTTTGCCTATAGTTCTTGTCCACTGAGAATCAGATCTAATCATATCAACTAGAGTCAGACTACATCATAATTATTGTCTGATAAGATGGTCAGTGTGTCATATTCAGGGATTATGGAGGCAGAAATTCTTGCCATGACTTGGCGAAGACACATGACAGACTGTGTGTTAGTCACCAATCAATCATAGCCTGCCATCTTTAAGATCCTGCGTGATGTGAATGGGAAGGAGATTCCAGGGACTGGAAACCAAACTGCAAACAAACAATAGTGTGAATGAAAGCCGGGCTTCACTTCCATCTCCTACATACAGCCACTCTGTAATGACCTTTTGGTGTCACATCTGAACAGACCTGGTACTCTTTAGTGTCATTTTTTCAACATGTCGGGTAGTGCACTATACAGATAAACATTTCTGAACGTTGAAAATAGACATCATGGGTCCATGACAAAATGTTCTCTGCTGGTGTCGTCACTGTGGCTGAACTTAACCAAGACAGTAAGTAAAAATGAGACAACATCAAACAGAGCTAAATGTAAAAATAAGGGTCCACACAAGGGGATGTAACTTCACTCTCCTGGATGAAGTTGTGTGACTCCACCCAGCCAGCTTTCTTTTGAGGATCTTTTAAAGAGATCCCTCTAATGAAAATATTTCCCCCCCTTGGTAATATAGTTATACGGTGTTTTTTATGTGTTGGAAGACACATCATGAGCAAATGAGGCAGCCAACGCTGTGACTTCCAGGTAACAAACATGAGGAACAAATCCTGTCAGCTTTCAGGGTTGGGCTTTCTGTAAAGCAGGATTATTTTCATGTAAAAAAAAAAACTTCTAAAGATGTAACTCTGATACACAGGGATGATTGTTTAGGGGTTTAATCAATGACAGAAGAGAAACTTTAAACTAGAAAAACTCTTTTATGTCTATCAGCACTGAACATGGTTGGTATCAAGGCTTGAGGTCAGGGAGTTGGACACAGCCAGACTTTCTTTGTGTAAGCCGGATAAAAGTGAGCCACCTTCGTGACACTGTGAACTATGGCTTTAGGCCCATTATACTTTGTTACTATTATGTCGTAGCGCAGCCCCCTGGTGTGTTTTGCTGAGATGCCAGTAGTTTTGGCAAAATGGTATTAAATGGTGTTTGACACCCTGGAAATGAAATGAGGTCAGAATGAAACTAGCTGTGTTATTCAAGAAATCCCAAACAAGAAATAAAATCAAATAAAAAAGATGGATCCATCTGTAGGTCACAATAAGAGATCACCATTATTTCCCTCAAAACTTTAGCTCCAATTGATGTCTATTGATTTCTATCCCAGATGTTTATTCCACAAAACTTAAATGATCCTGAAGAAACGCTCTCTCATCTTGCCTGTGCTACTGTGTATGTACAGCAAAATGGCAATAAACCTGATTTGATTTGATTTGATTCGATTTGATGTAGAACAGAAAAGAGGGTTGGATACGTTTTCAGGGGCTTTAATGTGGAAGTTGTTGCTTTTGTTTAAAAAAACTACGAAACCTCCTTCCTCGCTGGCCCAATAATTTTTACACAGTCCCTAATGGCATGAAACCTTTGACCTCTCTGAAATGAGGGTGCTTACATTCACAAATACAGAACTTACAATAGTATGAGAAGTACCACAGGTGATTGTGTCCAAAGTATTCCCTCAGTACATGGTGTCCTATTTCTATACAGTTAATTCACAGGTATAGCCACATGTTGAATTTTACTCTACAGAGACCGATGACCACAAAACAGCTATATGGGGGTTTCAGCCCCTCAGAAAGATTTAACGTGACTCAAACTTGAACCAAACTAAGATTTTCGTTGCCAACAGGTGTTTCACAGACTATGTTTTATATGTTGGATTATCGTCCAGCCATAGAGACATTACAACATTTCTCCTCAACAGGGGACGGTGATCAGTTCAGAGCTCCGCCAAAACTGAGCTGAAAAGTCCCTCATCTTCCATAAAACCCGCTCTACAAGCTTTCTGAAAAGTGGGCTCCGAATGTTTCCTTCCTTTTCAAAAGTGTTCATCTTGAAACGGTGACGTATGCTTTGCCTCCAGACCCCTTTCAGTTCAGACCTTTTGTTATCTTACGTGTCATAAGCAGGAGGGATTTCAAAACATTAAACAACACTGCGCCCGTGGTTGCCTGTTGTCGCTAAAACTTCCATTTGTGCCTCTGCTTGCAGAGCACCATGCTAAAAGCAGCCCGCATGCCTCCCTGTGGGCATGTCACAGTAGCTACACCAGGCCAGTCTGCATGTGCACGTGTAGTGGGTAGGGGTGGTAGACGAGCGGGGGCTGAGCCTGAGTGATGAAGTAGCTGTTGTAAATGGGCTCGGCCATGTACGGAGCCGGCTGGTAGAAGCAGGTAACGTTGGCCGTGTTGGGGATGGCGTTCTGCTCGCCCAGCACCCTCAGAGCCAGGACCGTGATCATATTGAGCGTCTGTCTCCTCTCATGTCCCATCAAACACACCGTGCTCTCGTCGATGACGCGCCGCAGGGTCATCAAATAGTCGTACTTGCTCGTCTCCTCGTTGCCAATGAAGTGGCACTGCAAGTAGGCCTCGATCTTCCGCTGCTGCTCGCTCACGTCAGGGAAGTCGATGAAAAAGCGGGAGCACATGTATCGCTCCAACGACTTGATCTCGGTCTCGCTGGCTGGTCTGAAGTTCCTCACCAGCAGGTCGCTGTATTTAAGCAGACCCCCTCCTCGGATCTCCTCTGGGTTGTGGGTGGCGATGAGGCGGTGGCGGAGGTGATCCATGGCCTGCTCGAAGTCTCCGTACATGCACTCGGCCTCCACGGTGATGGTGGGCTCGCCTGCTGCCCCGACCCACAAGCTCGACCCGTAGTTGTTTGGGACGGCGTCTTTCGGCCCAGCTTTTTGCTCATCTACTTGAGGCTGTGAGGCTACATTTGCTGTACATGTGTGGCTCTGAGTCTCTGAATCAGGAGGCTTCTTCGAATGTTTTGGCTTAACAGTTTGTTCTACGGTTTCACTGGAGCCAGTCCCCTCCTGAAGCGTACTGGCTGGACTGCGCGTGGGCTCTGCGAGGGCATCTGTACCCTCGACGTTCTCTGATTTGGCGTCCGGTACATTTGAGCCATGAGCGCTTTCCAGCAAAGGAGGTTTTGGCTGAAGTGGTTTTGGTATTTCTATGGGAGGAAACAGCTGTGTTGTAAGGTCTGACAAATCAGTCAGTAAAGACCATTTTTCAGGCTTGCTGATCAACTTCCTTGACATTTTTCTTTGTAATTTCGGAGAAGGGCAGTAGTCTGGCACAACGTCCTGCGATGTGCTGCAAGTCTTTTTCGCTGGAGGAGGAAAAGAGAACTCATGATGTGAATCTTGTTGGCTTACGGCATTTTCAGTCTTGCAGATTACTGAGTCTACTTTGAACTGAGTGATTTCTTTACAATGGGATATTTCTTGGGGAGCTGAATTTTCAGTGTGCGTTACAGGCACCGGCTGGGAAGCTTGTGACTCACACAAATCTTCATTTTTCTGTAGTTTTAAACATGCGTGTGTCATGATTGGATCTCTGACATCTGGAAATAAACTATTAGGGGATGTAACTACAGGGTAATCGTTGTGATTATGTCCTTCATCTCCTCTGTTTTCTTCACATAGCTCAATTACAATGTCCTCCTCTGAATGAACATCCTCAATGCCATCCTCTTCCTCTCCATGTAATTCAGTTCCCACAGGTTCTGACACCTGCTGCACCTTATGATCTCCATTTACATGCTCAGCGGCTGCATGTGGAAGCTCGTCCTCAAGCACAGAAACCGCTTCATCCTGACACGGACTTTCTGCACTGGTTGCCATCGTTGCATCTTTTTCAACATCCTCCTCAACATCCCGAGGAATGCTCGATTGCTCTTGCGCTTTGTTTTCCTCCTCATTGTCTCTTTTAGACAAATTCCCAGCATTCAGTGCCAACTTTCCTCCTTGTTTCCTTTCTGTCTCCCAGTAGGACTCCAGCATACGATCTAATATTATCTGGAAGGAGTCCACGCTGAACTCAAACTGCCTTCGGAGGGAGCTTACAAATCGGAGCCCTACGGTTTTAGCCCTGTTGTTAGAGAGTGAGATCAGGCTCCATCGGTCGTGCTCGTTGAAAACTTTCACCATCTTTTGCACATAGGCTTCCTTCATTGTCAGGCAGGTGATCTTCCGTCTGTTAACGCCACAAGGGAGGAGGTCTCGCAGGCTGCCCAGCACCACCTCCTTAATCACCTGGAAGTCCTCCTGCCTGGGCAGCTCCACTCCGAAAATGATGTCCAAGTCTCTGTAGCCCAGGCCGTTATCTCTCACCAGGACGTGGCTGGCAGTCGCTCCATTCAAGCGTATATCTTTAACCTGGATGTCTCTTTCAACCAGTCGATCTTTCACCACACGAATGATGTCTTTCGCTCTCACCTGCAGTGTGGGAAAGTTTCCTCGTCCGTGGATGGGGATTACCTCCGTCAAGACTTTGTCGAGAGCCTGAAGCTGCTCCAGGGTCAAGTTGTGGAACCTCTTCTCTGTTTGAAGCTCCATCGTCCGTCCTCACCTGTGAAAAAAGAGGTCTGACATTTGCATCACATTGTGGCTAACATCTCATAACGGATAATGAAAGGGCGAAGCAGTGAGACAGATAAGAGAACATACTGTAATGTAGAAACTGTGCTTTTTCTTAGAGTAATACAAACAAAAAAACCTTGCCTGCTTGTCCTCTCTGCAGCCTTTTACAAATGTGCACAGAAAAGGTTTTTCTTTTCTTCTATCAATATCAGTATCATGAGGATGTAGTATCCTGTCGACATCCTTTTCCTTGAGCAGATTTTTTACTCATTTGTTTACTTGAAAGTCTAGACCTTTGTAGGCTTGGCATTTGCCCTTTTGTTTTCCTCTCCTTCGGAAAGTCTCAAATGCACAAACGCAACCAAACAAATAAAAATAACTGAGCTAAAGGCTTCTGCAACAGATGCTTTCACCCTCAACTCTCTCCAACTGCAATATGTGCCAATTGTTCATTAGCTATATTTGAAATTCAGCAGTTCAACATTAAGCATAATGAGCAGCTCTGAGGACTGAGGATGTGTTGGTCATTAGCTTGTCTGATGTGCTGCCACTAGATGGCAACAGAATTGCAACATATGGCAAAGTCAACTGAATGGCTTAGTAAGAGCTTAAGCATAAGCCACTGGTGGCGCACTGCAACTAATTTACCTTCAACTCAACAAGTTTATCTGCCAATAAAACTGTGTTTTCACATTTAGCTCTTACAATGATGGTGACTGAATATACAACAGATCAGCGGCACCATGGTTGCCACTAATCAGCAGTTGCTTGGTCTCCTTTGTGTTGCAGAGAGTCTATTCCCCAGACATCCAAGTTAGGGCAAACAAAAAACAAAAAAAAGCCAATTCCTGCACAAATATAATCACTTCTGTGCTAATTTATTAAAAAGTCAACGTTTGGTCACAAAACATCCATGAGAAAGGTGCTCAAGACATCTGTGACCTTCTTGAAGATAGATCCTTGTGACCAAAACGTCGACTTTTTGATAAATCAGAGTGATCGTGTGTGTGGGAACTGACTTTTTTCAGATAGATATTTGCTTTAACTAATCACATGCAGAGGACATATTTTTAACGTGTCTAGTTGAGCTGTAAAATAAGATGACCCCACCCACAATGCATTGTGAGTTTGGAAAGGGACTTTTTTTTTTACATTCCAGTTACATGATCAACATCATCAACTGTTTCTTGCGTCATTTCACTTGCTGGTTACGGATGGATAAACATTCAAGAGTTGTCAAGTAGAATGTTTTTTCCATCATCACGTGTTCATCTGTTAGCTACAGGTGACTCACCTGTCTGTCATTCGCCAGCTGACGGTGACAGAGACAGGCTGGTTCTCAGATCCATAAGAGACAAGCAGGACCTGTCTGTTTGTACTGCACCTGTATGTAGAAGCCTCTGAAGGAGTGCTGAATCTAAGCTCGTCATACCAAACAGGGCAATGCTCTTGTTATAATACAATAGATTGCATAATGTTGACACCTAATAAATAGCATGATGTTGCTGGACAAGATGCTTTTTTCCTGGTTTTCCAATGTCACAACAATGTATTTGTGAGAGTTTTTGAAAAAGTCTTACGAATAAAAAGGGGAAAAAAAGAAAATAAGTAAGAGAGAAAAAAGGTACGTCATCATTATCGTACGCTGACTCACTCAGTACAGAGGCAAATGTCAGATTTTTAGCCTGTTACCGAAAACACTACAGTGAAGATCCACATTTAAATGTGTACGCACAATATATTTCTGGTGAAATTTACCTTATGACAGCATTGGTTGCGCTGCTACCCTGTTCTGCTTTTTTCTCTCCTTGCTGCTACAATTATACTACTAGAAAAAAGAAATTCTTGAAAATGTAATCAAAATCAAACCAGTTGTGTATGAAAACTAAGGTTTCAGTCATTTCCCAAAGCCTGAAAATCAGTGAATCATCACTTAGAAAGAAATGTCATTACGTAATCAGAAATAGATATCAAGTCTGGACCAAGAATGAGAAATAATCACCAAAATATTTATCAGATTTTGTCCAAATGACATTTTCTTTTACAATTATTATGTTTCAGTTGAACATTTTTAGATATAAGTTGGATAAAGGTGGCAGAAAACATATTGCTGCACTTTAATAAATTGGAACAAATTCAGCCATATTCCTAAATCTTCATGGAAATACTTTGACATACATGCCAGTTTTTGGTTGTTTTTCTTTTCTTAAAAGCAAACTGATTTCATTTGTACGCTTTTCTGGCTGGCCTGGTCAGTGATGTACTGTAAACAGCACTTGATCATCTGTTGAGTGCACAGCATGTGAGCAGCCTCCTGCACCATCAGTCTGTGTTAGTATTTGGCGGTCATCAGTGCAAAATGTGGCAGCAGCAGCAGCATCATCTCTGGGGGGTAACAGGGAGGGAAGCAGGGCCCACAGCAGCCCCTAGTGAATCTCTGGGGTTACATCAGCTCGGTCCTGCAGCAGGACTGCTCTTCTGCCACTTGGCTTCTTTATAGATAAGACTATATGAGTCATACAGCCACTGAATGAAGCATCAGTCGTTGGCTCTCCTGGATTCTTTCCCTGTGCGCAAAATAGGAAAAAAAAAAAAAAAACGACACAAAATGCACCACTTGAGGTGGCATCAGGGCTGTGGAGCTCATCAAATATTTACCCAGTAAAGCTGGTAAAGGGATTGTAGCAGTATTAGTGAGCATATATGGTCGTGATGGGGATGCATGCATGCTGCTGGGCATCTTTTTTTAAAGCACTGCTTCCATCTACAACATTTTGCAGAGGCCAGTTTTCTTCTTTAATGTTCCACTACAGTCGTTAACATGTTGTTTACTGAACTCAAAATGGTTTTATTTCTTCACCATTTAGTTCAACATGTGATCAGCATCTGGATTTTCTGGTGCATTTAGTTGCAGCTTATAAGTTGACATGCAGTCTTAAGTAAACGAAAAGGGCACATTTTTGAAACTGAATATAAGAAAACAGAAGGCAGCATGAGGCAAAGCATAAAAGAAGACGCACATTTAAAAAAAATAAAAATAAATTAAATAAAAAAACTCACCTGCTTTGGGGTGAAAGTGGAAAGTAAAGCCAGAGGAGAAGACACAAGAAAGAAGAAAAACACTGATATCCAACAGGTTTGCTTTTTTTTATATATATGTTTGTTTTTTTTTAAATCCGACCCTCGTTGGAAAAGGTTGACGCCGAAGTTAACGCGGACACTTTCCCCTCAGCGCAGTTTCCATGGCAATCAGGCGTCACGAAATTTACGGTAAATCACGACGCTCTCTCGGCTATCTCTCCAACTGCCCGAGTGACAGCAAGTTTCAAACAAACCCCCGGATCAGAGAGGCTTCCACACGCATGGTAGCAGTTTGATAAAGTTTGACTGCTGCTGCTGTCGGTGGAGCACCACCACCCGATATGCGAGGCTCAACTACCGGCGTGCCACCGCACTGCCGAGCTGTTGCGGGGTGAACATCACATCAGACGGAGTGAGTCATCCTCTCTCCCCGCCGTGATCCACACCGTAAATCTAATCATCAATCAACCGCTTTCACCGCCCACCGCTCCGCCGGCAACAGCGACGCGGACACTTTCAGCCGACTGTTTTTACTCTTTAACTCCACCCGGCCGGCGTTTCCCCCATTTAAAAAACGCTCAAAATGTCGCGTTTGAACGTTATTTATTTTTTATTTTTTTGCTCTTTTCATTCACATTTGGCCAGGAGGAGGAGGAGGAGGAGGGGGGCAGCTCCCTCGTGACGTTTGAATGGAATACCGCCACCACGTGACGGTGACGTCGTTCATATTTTGGTGAGAGACCCGGAAGTGCGGAAGAAGGCGAACACCGAAACCAGAAAGGCTCAACTTTCACCGACTACTTTGGTTTTATTTCACTTATTTTTCGGCGGACTTTCCGTGAGAATTTCGTCGTGTGTATTCCGTAAATCCCAGAGAACAGCGTCAAGATGCCAGCCATGGAAAGTATCCTTTACAAAAACAGCGAAGAGAAGCGGACTGTGGTGAAGCGTCAATACGAGAGCTAAAGGAGCGAACACAACACGGTAGTTGACGACGGGACTGGTGAGATTTATGTGCGACAGGCCGCTGAAACGTCGGTAAATAGGCCAGATATTGACCAAAAGTCAATGTAGCGCCCTACTGAATAAATACAGCGTTTCCTGATCGGTTCAGGTGTCGTAACTCGAAACAGAACCGAGCTGAAGGCCGCAAATGCTTCTATTGCTAATGGCTGGAAATCCAGAAAGTGACACCGAGTAATTTAGTTGAAGCAAGTCATAGTGTAGCTTGATACTCCGAATAAAAAAGTAAGGAACTAATAAGATCAGGCTGTGTTTAATGTTAATCGTATTCTTAACTATTTGTTGTTAATCACAGCTACAAGATTTTTTTTCAGTAACTACATAAACAAAAGAGAGAATTAAAAGGACACTCCAAAAATACCTGTTACGTAACCTGTACTTTTCCCAGTGTGGCTACTAGGACAGTACAACAGTTGAGGTAAAGTGGTTAGTTTTCAATAGCAGAACAAATCCCACATATTTAAAATGGTAAATATTTATGCACTGATTAAGGCATTTAGGGTCCAATACGGAAATTGCTGTTTCCTGAGTTAAAGTCCACAAATTATGTGTTGTCTCATAGCAGGTTGTCGTGACATAAATAACAATCTTAATACTGATTAACATGATTAGATTTATTTATTTTTAAGAAATGTAGGCAAGATACGTAGTAAACAGGATATTCAACAGTTAGAAAATCACCTTGTCAGTGCTCTCTTGTGGACAAACTGTGTAATCGTGACACTGTTTCTATTTCTGTCTTATCATTTTATATTACTTAAGGGCCGCCAGGCACTGATGCTGACAAGTTTATTGCAAGTAAATGTATTGGCCTGATCGATCAGTCGAGATCTGCTGAACTTGTTGGATTATAATTGACAGAGAAACACCTCATTCGCTTGATTTGGTCGGCTGTATCTGATTGGGGAATCTTTACAGATCTGCCTGCCAGTACTGTGTTCATCACTGTGGATGGTATTAAGGTAATTTAATAGAAACAAACAACCTTTAAGCAAGTTAGAACGAGTTTTCTTGCCTCAGAATAGGCCTGTTTTACTTTATTTTTTAGGAGTCTATGTATTTTGTTGTTGTTTCTGAGCATTAGAAAAAACAAAATGTCTATTATACTTGACTAAATGAAACCCAGTAAACAAAGATGGTTCCTCATTTTTATTATTCTCAATTTTCATTGTTTTGGGACAAGTTAATTTTCTTTGTCCCTGGCTAAAACCTCTCTGTGGGGAGTGGCAAAAATTCCTCAACGAAAGAAGGCATTGAGTAAAAAAAATTAAGTGACAAGTGAGATGCAGGGATTTACAGGCTTCCTACATAAATGTCAAGACTTCCTCCTGAAGTTTCCTCCTGCAATCCTGACTTCAAGCGCAGAGGGTTTTGAAGTTATCTACAATAGCAAAAGGGGTAAATTTTCCTTGTTTTGTCCTTAACTGCATATCCCAGAACATCTCTTTAATTTAAAGTTTGCTGCCAAAGATCTCCAAAGAAATTCCAAAAAATGCGACAAAGAGGAAAAAATAGAGAAGGCTAAAGTCAAGAAGGTAAGCATCCCCTCTGAAACCAACCATCGAGCCAGCACTTTATGAAAGCCTGCTGACTCCGCTTTATTTTTGTCATTTCTAGGCCATCCAGAAGGGGAATACGGAAGTGGCAAGGATCCATGCAGAGAACGCCATCAGACAGAAGAACCAGTCTGTGAACTTCCTGAGGATGAGCGCTCGCGTAGACGCAGTGGCAGCGAGGGTCCAGACTGCCGTCACAATGAACCAGGTGCACAACAGACTGCTGTCGCCCCAGTTAGAGGCTGAAGACTGGAACTTCACATACGTGAATGCTTGTTTGTTGGCATTTTAGTGATGTGGTATTTTGTTTCTCAGGTCACAAAGTCTATGGCTGGAGTGGTGAAGGGCATGGATGCCACTCTGAAGACTATGAATCTGGAAAAGGTAGTGTCTTATATGTAGAACTATATCTTTTTTTAGTATTTAACATGTAATGACCGGATTACTCTTAAATTATTAAACATTGTGTCGTTTTTCTTTTTCTTCAGATTTCATCCCTCATGGACAAATTTGAGCACCAGTTTGAAACTCTGGATGTTCAGACAGCCCAGATGGAGGACACCATGAGCAGCTCAACAACTCTCACAACACCACAGGTATCACTTTCTCTGCTTTGCTGTTATATGTTTTCTGACTGTCCGACAGCGCCTGTTGAAGAGTTTTAGTAAAAACCTAATGTGTCATGTGTGTTTCAGAACCAAGTGGATTCATTGCTGCATGAAATGGCTGATGAAGCAGGGTAACGTTTTCATTTTTGGCCTTAACACTCTTTGTAAATTAAAAAAAAATGCATATTAAGTATAGTTTTACAGGCACAGACTGCAACAACTGTGGCTATTGGTATCATAGATATTTGAGAGACAGTCAAAATAATGTTTTCCATGGTGTATTGAAAGCAGAGATATTTTGTGTTAAAATCCAAGTGCAGGTTTTAAATGTGTGCTTCATGCTTAGGTTGGACCTGAACATGGAGCTCCCTCAAGGACAGACAGGATCAGTGGGTACCAGCGTGGCCTCTGCAGAACAGGTACGCTTGCTGTCGACAACATCTTTGTGACTATTTGGACCTGTGTCCATAGACTCAGTAAAAATCGTGGTATAAATGTAATGACTGAAACAAAATTTCAACTGCTTTCGACTGTGGATTTAGTGGCTTTTCCACATATCCTTGGTTCCTCTTTCATCGTCGTCTTCCTCACTAATGCCGATGTCTCTCTCTCTCTTTCTTTTGTCTAAAGGATGAACTGTCTCAAAGGCTTGCCAAACTCCGAGATCTCGTGTAAAGAATACTGCGGTGGACTGGCACTGTGATGCAGAGCTATAAGACACCTGTACACTACCTGAATATTACTCCCAAACATCTTTTATTTACATCTTGTCTTCTCTCCGACTTACGTCTCATGCATCTCTGTTAAGGAGCTACTGTATCATTGTTATGTTTTTCCACATGTAAAGGCCCTTGTTGGTTCTGTGTTCATAACATCACAACAATTGTAATTATTCCTTGGCCATCTTTTGATTTACTAAAAGATTTGCTCTTTAGGGAAAATGTATGTATTTCTTAAAATTATATATATTTACCAATAGTGAATCCAACATTATTGCTAAATAAGTATACTTCAGAACTCCATAAATACAAACACGCGACAGTTAGAACCCCGTTTCATATACTGGTGGTAAATAAGCTTAAGATTTTGGATGGAAAAAAATATTATTATTATTTTTTTGTTCATACTGGCATGATTGCAGATGTCATTTATGCATTTTTCTCTTCATGATATGGGAGTGTAAAAGCCTTTCCTCCTGACTGGTGAATTGACTTCTTCAGTTGATTTATTGTATTTTATTTGTGATTCATATCCTAAGAAGATCCTGGACAAGTAGCCTGTGTGTTTGTCTGGTGATCTTCAGTGTTTTCACTGATCACTTGGGGAGGGCTGCAGTTTGGAAATTAAACAGTAAGTGAAAAATAAAATTTTATAATAATTGTACATGTTTTCCTTTTCACTGAAGTATTTAATCCATTATTTCATCTGTAGGGAAATGGTAATTTTGAACATGAAGTAAACAACAACAACATGCCACACTGTACGTCTTTGGCTGTGTTGCAGATGGAAAGCTTATAGACATTATAAAGATTCTACTATTCTTGACAAAATATATTTAAGATGTAACTACTACAAATCCTCAGAAAGACAGCAATAACAACTAAAACTAAATATCCAGTATTCAGCATTCATTAGAAATGTTAGAATTTGGTGTATGTAAACAATACACAGAACCATAATATGAATATGCAGTGTAATCATAAAATTGATTAATGCATGCAGATAAAATATGAAGTAATCCAGCTGTGTGGGCTCAAAAACGCTTCATGAGGTGGACAAAACGATGATATGTTTAATTTCTGAGCTTTTATGCTGTTGTGTTTTCCCTTGACACGAATGAATTTGAAACCATTCACTGCCCTCTAGTGGCCGCCAGATGGAGCTGCAGCATCATGTCAGCTAGCATTAATTTAAGCATATTTATTAATGCTGATTCTAGAAATGGTATTAGTATGAATATGCTAATCATTATAACAACTATATTTGATAATTATCAGCAGGCAGCTGATATAATGTCAGGCCTGATTATGCTATAAACTACAAACTTTTTTTTTCTTTTTTGGTCAACTATTCAGTTACAAAAAATGGCAAAGTTTCACATAGACACACTTAAGTTATGACCACAGACATAAGATAATGTGCATCTGTTTGCTACTGATCCAAATAAAAGCAGTCACAGACGTTTCCAATACAGCTTTAACATGAAGCACACTATCATTTTTTTGCAGATGATCACTATTTGGCATGACACCAGCGTCAGCACTCTGAAGTTTCGGAGTCGCTTTCAATAACAGCAAGATGGCACAAGTACACAGAGGACTCAAAGCCACGTTGAAAATAAAAGGAGCACTGTTAGTGCTTTTCATTTCAGTTCGACAGAGGAATGTTTTCTGGTGCTGCATTGATCTGAGGGAATTCAGTTGAGTAAAGTGAAACTGCAGAGCAGATACAACTGAGAATTCTGACTGCAGGCGTGAACCATACACACCATGTACACAGTACACACGGTACACATCATGCACACAACAAACAAAACAAAATAAACACAGCAAAATAACAGTAGCTATATTACAACTGAGTCAAAACAAAGCAAAATTAGGAAATTTTAAAAAACTAAAATAAATATATGTGGCATTATAGATTGGTGTATTATGGGGAAAAAAACAATTCCCTGAAATAAATCCTCTGAAATAAAAAAAAACCTATAAATTCATTTATTACATTTATTTACATGGCGTGTGATGTCAAGATTTATACTCTAGCCATAATTCTTCATTGGAATATTTATTGATTTATGTACTTATTTACTCAAACTTTAAAAAGGGACTTAATGTAGTGAAGGGGAAACGTCCTGCAGTACCACTTTTAGCCACACAATGGAGGCAATAGGCTTGTGGCGCTGTTTTCCTCACAGATAAATGTTAACATAAACAATCTTAACACTGTTCCCTTTAATTAGATGCTTTTTTAAAAGACTTGTGGCCAAGATGCATAGTAAGCAGCAACAGCAAGCAATCCTGTAATGGTGACACTTTTTTTTTCTTTCTAAATTACATCAACTCTAGTTCTCACTATCTGTCTCCACATGTTTTTTACTTAAAGGTCAACAGTGATGCCAGTATGTCTATAACAAGCAAATATATTGGCTCGACTGGTTTATTAGTCTACTTCTACTTCACACATGTAGGAACATACACTCAAGGATCAATGTGTGGCATTCATCTGATAGCAAATTTACTGTGACCCAAGTTTTCATCTCCTAGTACTGATTAAAATAGCTCAATTCAAGGCATATGCAGTACATGTGATGTAAGTTATAGCAGAAAAACTGAATTTTACAGCAATGTTAACCGCAGAATCTCACATCTGATATGTAACCCACTTAATATGTCTAAAAGGTGTTACTGCTGGCTTTACTTCATCAACAAAAGCATTTACAAAAAGACACAAGATGGAAATTGCGTTGATATCACCTATTATGTTAATTTCAATTTGTTATGTAGTAGTGATTTACCAAAACTCATCTATAAATTGTACTGCAGCTACTAAATCTGATTCCTGTTGGTTTCAGGATTCTTGCTCTCCTTTAGGGAGAGCTGAGAACTATCACAGCACAAGCACCTACACAATACCACAGAGGGCAGTAACAGTTACTTTTCCATTCCTATGTAATGTAATACAGTAAAGTAGACATTTTTTTTCTACAGCTGAGACCATCGAACAAGGTATTGTCATATAACTATATGGAGCTCATCTAATAAAAGCACTTATTCCACATTATGATGTCTTAGAATTAAATAGAGCAAGATAAAGCTGAATATAATAAACTTTATTGTCCAGCTGAGGCAGTGACATCGTCTCTGGTGTCTCCCATGAAATCATAAACCTTTTCATAAGATCATAAAAAAAAAACATCACAAATAAAAACACCACCTTTTATTGTACAGCAGTCAGTGCTTTTATACCCACAGTGTGTCCAATCTACAGTTGATATTTATGTCTACTGTAGTTTGTGTACAATATTCACTGTAGATTTATTTTACAATATCTCTCCTGTCCAGCTATGATCTGGATTATTGTTGACAGCTAATGAATTAAACTCATTGTGAACACCTGCCTTAAATAAATAGCTAATTAATATAGCGTAAATAAATATCCTACAGTCCCCAGCTTCCACTGCAGTATGCTTGCAGTATACCTAATACTATTCTATATTTAAAGGTACTACCATCTACTATTTTTGACACAAGGATTTGGGTTTTTTCTCCCTATGCTATGCCTGCGAGGTAGTACTATTGCGACATTCCCAGCCCAAGATCTCGGTCCTTATTCTTATACACTGCCCCAACTTCTAACTTCAGTTTAATCAATATAATGTAAACGTTTGATAAATCATTTAAACTGTCAGTGTTAAGGGTGTAAACAACCCGGTAGCCGAGCAAACGCTGCCTGTCAGACGTGACTCAGAGCCCACAGCGCAGTCACTCATCATGTGACTTTTGGCGTAAACAGGAAGCAGCTGATCTCCACTGCCTGCTTCCACCAAGTAATGTACTCCACTGTATTCTTCGAAACAAATAAAAACTCCAGGATAGAATTGCTCGAACATAAGTAACTGTTCTACCCTTTCGGGGTGAGTAAACGACACGTTAGTGAACTGTAACCCGTGTAGCTGTCCGTTCAGTGGGGCTAAGCTAAAGTACCTGACATTTATCTAGACTCGTGCTAGCTAAGTTAGCATTAGCTTTGGTGTTTATACGGAACAGAAAAAAAGAGTTGAAACAACCTTTACCATGTGTTTATATAATTTGTGAGTCTAATTAAACAATATATAGTTGGTTAACGTTTGCCCAGTTCGTATTGTAAGCGTTCTAACATGTCTTTTGTGGCGGTGTCGGGCTGCTGCTTCAGTAGAGCTAAGTAACAGCTAGGTGATATGTTTGCTCCGCAGCAGAAGGAGGAAGAGGAGAGCTGCTGCAGACACAGACTGAAGTCATCTGACCTGCAGCTCAGACAAAACACTCATCATCGTGTCTGCTGAGGGGGATGTCAAGCACAGCAATGAAGAAAAAGGTAAAGTAGAGGCCTACTATTTAGTGTCTGTGCCATCAAATCATCGGGGAGTTACAGTTTTGTGGATGACATTGACATGTGTGTACTTAGAATTGGAGCTTTGGCTGCTTTCCAATGAATGATGCTAGAAACTATATGTGTCCTTATTAAGACTGGACAATAAAAATGAAAAAAAAAATCCCAATAAAATGTTTAATTTCAGTCCATATTGAAGATAATTTATCATTTGAATGAGTTATTTAAAGGAAGGCCTGCAGAAAGAAGGCATAATTAAATTTAACAAAGACTACTGAGGCCTGTTTTTCAAGTTACACAGGTGTTAACGTTATTATTAGCACATTAGTAGTGAGACAAACACAAATAAATTCACACACATAACATTAAACAAGGATGAAGGAATCATCTCAACTTGATATAAATAAAAATCAAGTAAGGATTCAAGAAAGAAAGCAAGTAAAACCTGGAGGTTTATGGAAGACCACCAGAGGTGCTGACCAGGATCGAATTTCACCAGTCTCTGTGTTTTCCCCCAACATCAAGTCCGTCAGCGCTCGGAGCAAGACGCAAGGAGTGCATAGCTGAAGTGAAGGTTTTAGGGGACGCAGGGTTGAGGGTGCCTTTGCTTCCACAAAGCCTGTCTTGCAAGGACAACCACTGATCCCTGCTGGCTGCAGCCTTCACCAGAGGAGCTCTGCAGCCACAGATGGAGGTCATGAGAGACCCAGGCTGCTGCTGACAAACATTCTATCGAACAGTTTTCTTATTGAAATTGTTGAAGTGTCTGTCACACGGTACAGCCTGCTGTTGTTTTATTGTCCAGTCCTTATCCTAAAAATTTCAAATGTGCATTTTGAATATTTTTGCACCCATTGGTAACAAGAGGATAGGTGAGGTTGCTATTTTTTCCTGCTTTGTTTTGTTTGTTTTTACTTCAGGGATGAGATCTACTGCATTTGTGCTTTCAGGTGCTACTGATGGGGAAAAGTGGGTCGGGGAAGACCAGTATGAGGTCAATCATCTTTGCCAATTACATAGCTCGAGACACACGCCGCCTTGGAGCTACAAGTAAGAGCATTTTAAGGAAAGGTTCTGCATGTAGATGTATTTTTAATGCTGGGTGTGTCTTAAACCTCATTTATAAAAAATCTTCTCATTATTTATTGAACTTAGTTGACGTGGAACACTCCCATGTACGGTTTCTTGGCAATCTGGTTCTGAACCTGTGGGACTGTGGAGGGTAACACACATTTATTCGTTATTTTTTGGACCAGCTTTGGCAGTTTAACGTCATTCCGCCCTGTTTAAACGCTACTCTGTACTTTTTAATTCTTCAGACAGGACACGTTCATGGAGAACTACTTCACCAGCCAGAGGGACAACATTTTCAGAAACGTAGAGGTTCTTATTTATGTATTCGACGTCGAGAGCCGGGAGCTGGAGAAAGACATGCACTACTATCAGTCATGTCTGGAAGCCATCCTGCAAAACTCCCCCGATGCCAAAGTGTTCTGCCTCGTGCACAAGATGGACCTGGTGCAGGAGGACCAGAGAGATTTGGTGAGCTGTACCGGACATTTTCTACTTCTGCTGTGTCCCTCTCACAATTCTGCTCTTTCTTGATAAAAGTCAAACACTAATTTGTTTCAGCATTTCCAGTTATTTCTAGAATCATTGCTGAAACACATTGAGGCTGTTCTGGTAACACATGGTGGCCCAACACCTTATTAAGTCTCTTTAAGTTGTTTTTTCTTATTGATTTTCCACCTGTCTGTTGGGGATGTGGTACCAGAAATGTTGGTGAACAGTCAGTGTAAAGAAATCATAACCCCACCTCAAAAAAGTAAAAATAATACAAAGTACATTCTGTGAAAAACGGTTATTCTTTACTTTACAGAAAACGATGGATTAAATATTCATCTTATTGCCTTTAATGTTAATCACAGCCAGAAAGTTTATTTATTTAAAAGAGAAATTATTTCCTTCATATTGTTTTTGTGTTGTTTGTTAATGGGACTGCAGGAAAATTCAAAAAGTAAACCACTTCACTACCTAAATTCTTTTGACTGACTCTCTTTTCTGTTTTAACAGATCTTTAAGGAGCGTGAAGAAGATCTGAAGAGACTGTCCAGGCCTTTGGCTTGCACATGCTTCAGGACGTCCATCTGGGATGAAACCCTGTATAAGGTAGTGAATCTGACTTGCTTTGTTTTTACATGATAACTTTGATCAAATTTGACGCTGTTAGAGACGTTTTTAAATCTCTTCTGCAGGCCTGGTCCAGCATAGTGTACCAACTCATCCCAAACGTCCAGCAGCTGGAGACAAACCTGAGAAATTTTGCACAGATCATAGAAGCAGATGAAGTTCTCCTGTTTGAGAGAGCCACCTTCCTGGTGAGAGCGACCGCTTCCTCTGCCACAAACAGACTCTTTGCAGAAAAACTGGATCTAGAAATCAATGGTTTTTTTTGGTTTGTTTTTTGTTATTTTTGTAGGTGATCTCTCACTATCAGTGCAAAGAGCAGCGTGACGCTCACAGGTTTGAGAAGATCAGTAACATCATCAAACAGTTCAAACTCAGCTGTAGGTAAGTTCACCGTCTCTTCACACCGTATTTCACTTTGCTGCTACATCAACACATTCAAACCTGGGCATTGGGAATATTTTGTACATTTAGAAGACTCTTTTTTTTCTACATATAGAAGAATCTGTGCAATATCAGTGGTGTTCTACATAGAGAATAACCTTGTGCGATATTGCTAGTTACCACTTTCAGACCAGTCTAGGCAGTACTTAGATGTTCTACATGCAGACAAATTTGTACAGTGTTACCACTACTTAATATTTCTTTGTTATATTTTTTAGGGATGTTCTCTATGTTCTTGCACTATCCCCTTTGCTGCCGTAACACTGCCAATTTGTAATCAGTAAAGGATTATCTTATCGTATCATATCTGCTGAACGTTTATGATGTTTCAGATTTATTGATATCTGTATCTGTTTTTATTCCAGTAAACTTGCAGCCTCTTTCCAGAGCATGGAAGTGAGGAACTCCAACTTTGCGGCCTTTATCGACGTCTTCACCTCCAACACATACGTCATGGTCATCATGTCGGACCCCTCCATTCGTAAGTACTGAGGATGGCATTTCTCTGTAGTAAATGCACAGTTAAGAAGACAAATCAGCATCATAATAATCTAATAATGTCTTTTTTTCCCCCCAGCATCTGCAGCCACTCTCATCAATATCCGTAATGCTAGGAAACACTTTGAGAAGTTGGAGCGGGTGGACGGACCCAAGCACAGCCTGCACATGCGAATGCGTTAAGCCCACGCGTTTGTCCCAGTGGATACTCTCAGCCAATCAGTCCACAGATCGCTGCGGCCTCCCAGCTCCAATACACACGAGCAGCCCTGCACCGTTTCCTCTATATCTTCAATTTCAATCACAGTTATCACGGGAGAAATCATATTTTCTTTTGGTCTAATTTCTACAGTGATCTTAAATATGTTGAAGAGTGATACATTCTGTTGAAATATTTGTCCTAACTTGACACATTAAAGAAAAAATGAATAGTTGTTTGCTACAGAGCGGGCTACCTTTGCTGTCATGCTGTCATATACAGTAGATTCATTGGCTTCATGCAGTGAATCCTAGTGATTTGGGGACTTTGTCTCCAAGTGTTAAGCAGCAGATACTGTTTGATTTTCAAATGCAGTTTGTAAGCTGTTACAAACAATATAGTTATGTTCAGAAACAGATGTGAAGTGTGTGTGTTTTTTTTCCTGCCTTTTTCATTTGGAAAATGTGCACCACATAGCATCACAAAAATGCCAGAAGTTATGAACATGTGTACATAGTTTCTGTAAAAACCCTCCTGCTCAGAGGAGGTTCCTGTTAATCCTTTTATTGTCTGTAGTGTCCATGCACATGAGGCCCAGTTGACACACTGCAGCAGTTGTCCTCTACATGTGACGTGTGGTGCACCTGTTAAGCGAGCTGACAGCAGTGTTCGGACAGATGGAGCAGCATGTTACAGCCTGATGGGTTCATTTCTTTGGATTGAACATGAAAAACAGCTGCATGTAATGTATAGTGAGCATTCGTTTTCTGTGTAAATTTAATTGGCACGTACAAACTGAAAAGTTGCCTTCAAAGGTATTGCACTATAACACTACAGACTGATGACACCATAAGCATCAGTCAAGGTTCTAGGACTTTAACAGTGGAGTATATGAATCTAATATGTAATACTTGCTCACAGTCAGCTAGAAATCAGTTCTGTGTGTATGCTGTGAAATAATCTGCACAGTCCTGTCTCTAAATGGGAGGCAAAGCCACTCGGACTGTTCCCTGTAACTCTATCGCAGCATGTCCTGTCCACGTTGGAGCTCGTGTATGTTTATGGACAGAGGGAAAATAGTAGGAACGGGGGTGTGAAGGAAGCGCAGAAGACGGTATATCTGCACATCCTAACTATCTAAATAGGGTAACTAGCTAAATAGCAGCAATCTTTCTCCAGAACTGTGGACCCTATCTTTACCTCAGAATCTATGTGGGTGGGGTGCAATCAAATTAAATGGAAACTGACCAAACAACCCACAGACTGTCATTAGATTGTGACTCAAACGTTGCTCAACTATGATTGGTGCACAGAAGTATTTGCAAAGCTGACTGACAAAATCTGTTTTCAGGACCTTTAGTTGTTTAGTAGTTAAAACACCTAAAAACTCATCTCTGTGGATCAAAGTTCCATATTTAGGGTCCGAGCACCCAAAA